ATTCTATTAATTCAATTTTATTTCATTATCTATTATAGATTTTTTAAGATTCTTTATAAATTTTGCATGATCAGCAATTAATGTAATTAGAGAAGGCAGCATGTTCCAATAAGAAATGGCTCTATACACAGCTGGTTTGACAGCAGTCCTAGGCAGAGGTGATATAAAAGTTACAGCAGAGGCTCATCTAGTATTAAAAGCGTGTCTGTTGCAGGTGGGTAACAACTGTAAGAAAAGGCTAAATGGTTTATGTGAAGTCCAGATTTTATGTAAAGAGAGAAGAAGGCTGCATGCTAGTCTGTCACGTACTTTCATCCATGACAGGCATCGATACATGAAATTGACATTCGTTCTAAAATGACGTCCGAGTGCTAGTCTTGCAGCTTTATTTTGAACTACCTGCAGTTTATCCAGATGTTTTTAGAAGCACTTGACCAAACGGCTGAATAATTTTGAAGTTGACAGAGAACTAAAGACTGTATAACAAATGTTCTCGTTTCTAGAGACATAAAATGTGCATTATGCCAGATTATAGCAATATTTCTGCTCATCTTAGACACCATCTTATTAATTTGTGTAAACCATGAACGAGTTTTGTCTGTTATGACTCCCAGTAGATTAGCCTCTTTAACTTGTTCTATTGATTGTTTTTGCACAAAGGTTTGCAACTTTTGAGTTTGTTTTACAAAATATTTAGAACCCAGTACCATACACTTTGTTTCTGAAAAATTCAGTTTTAACTGTTAGTTCGTTATGCATGCATTGACTAATACAAATGAAATGCCATTTACAAAAATACTACACATTGTGGAATTCCACGTGGAAGGGATTTGAGCAAATACCATTAAACATAACATACTGTTTCCTATCACTAGGATAACTACTCAAGAAGTTAATAGCTGATATTTTGAAGTCATAAGCTGACAGCTTCATTAGTAATAGCTCATAATCAACAATATCAAAAGCTGCTTTGAAATCAAGAAGTACAACACCAACCAGTAGTTTTCTATCAATTTGCTATCATCAGTAAGAGCTGTCAGCGCAGTACTCAGAGTGGTCCTCTTCATATGAATGCTGAACATCAGCGTAGATACAATTTATGTCAAAATAATGTTGAACACAACTCTTTGCATATCCATTTCCATTTCATTTTCAGTTTCCAACTGGTAAAATGCTTATAGGCCTGCTGTTTTGCCCCATTATCCCCCGTTCTTTCAAATTTATAGCCACTGGAATAACTTTTGAAATTTTCCACAGATGTTTTGGTGTTCCTTATAAAAATAAATCATTGCTTATCTGTTTCAGATTTGTATGAAGACCATGCCTGCTGCCATGTATCGCCTATTGACTGCTCAGGAGCAGCCTGTTTACATCTGAAACCAAGAGTTCACCTCTCTGCAGCTCAGAGTTCAGTCATAATTTGAGCTCTTAGTTAATGTTTGGTTTGATGGTTTGACTAGTCGTGTGGTAATTTAAAGGTCTCACTTTTTATCTGGCCTTACTAAAACTCATTCTTACATTGGCGTATAAATAATGGGTAATACTTTACAATAAGGTACACAAAATTTAATTAATTACTAGGCAACACCTTGGGAATGAATCAGGAGCTAATTGGTAGTTAACCAGTACTTACAAGGGAACACACAGCCAAGCCCTATTAGGGGACTACTGGTTAGTTACCTTGTAAATGAAGAGGAACTAATCAAGAACAAATGGGTAGTTACCATGGAAACCAAAGAGAAACAAATCAGGAGCTAATGTGTAGTTAACCAGTAGTTACTGGGGAACACACAGCCAAGCCTTATAAGGGGACTACTGGTTTGTTACCACAGAAACGGAGAAATTATCCATGTGGTTTCTGAATAAACCCTGCACGAGTGAGATCACAGCTCGTAATTGTCAAAAACCTGTTTCCTAGTGATTACTGGTTTTATTGGATTTTCTCTTCTTGTAAACCTATTGATAAAAACCATGAGCAATTTCATAATCCTGTACTGCTGTCATCCTAACTATGTCTGACCATCACTTACTGAGTATCAAATCATTGTCTGGCTATTATTTTGGTCACTGATGTAGTGAAGCCTCGTACCAAGTACTTACTGAGGAACCAATCATTACTTAATCACTACCTGACCGTTACCTACTTGTTTGTTCCCGTGGTAACAAACCAGTAGTCCCCTAATAAGGTTTGGCTGTTTGTTTCCCAGTAAGTTCTGGTTTACTACCCATTAGCTCCTGATTTGTTCCTGTTTTTTTTTCCCTAAGGCGTTCAATAGTAATTAATCAAATTTTGTGTACCTTATTGTAAAGTCCAAAAAAGTTCAATCTGGTCCTCTGGACATTCAAAAAAACAAAACAAAGTAAAACAACAAAAAAATGTAGAAACGTTTCGTCTCTCATCCGATAGACTTCCTCAGTCTATCTAGTGCTGTTTTCAGCTCAGTCTCTTAAATAGCACCTTCTCAGAGTGGA